CTCATAGCCATCAGTTTAGAGTTTTTCTAAATTTCAAAAGCTCTAATTACATATCAGGAATGAGGCCTGCAAGCTATAAGTAGCGAGAACTCAAGACCTAAAGGAAATGTCCATCAGAGAAGACTTTTGTGAAAGAAGACAGGGAGAAGAAGAAAGAACAGCTGATCACATATCTCCTGGCTTAGATCAATCCCTAGATCAAAATCTTAGAGTGGGTGGGTGTTAGAAATGACCAGATCAGTTATGGGAAAAGCTCAGAATACTGGGGCGAGTTTCTCACTTCCCCAGACACAAGCCGTGAAAAGTCTGAGGTCCAACATGGGGTGGCCCAAGTAGCAGGGTAGAAAAGGCTGAGAGAAAAGACTGGTGAGACTATTACCCATCACTCTCATTATCTCCACATGCCCTCAGTTGATACTATCACCAAATCCATCTACTACCCAAATTAAAGGCTTGGATATTGAAAAATATAGAATTCTCGATATATATGTACACATTAACAATTGGTCTTTGTGAGATGCATATGTTTATTTAGGAGGGAGTTGTGTGACATGGTTATTTGGAGTGCTTATTTCTGGCAATACCTTGAGCCATCAGATTGCCTTTTCTTTCTTCAAAATCATCCCATATCCAGATTTCCAAGAACAAAGGACAATAGAACACCGATGGCTGACTTAACAAAAACCTTGCCAGGATTAAAAAATATATATATGATTGAATAAACCAGAAGAACCAGTTTGAACTACTCCATGGCCAGGCAAGAGGGAAAAAGAAAATATAAAAGTAAAATGAAAGAAATGAAAGGTTTTATAAGAAAAGTTCTGAGAAAAGAGCATTTGTGGAAAAATAGGGCTTAATGCCTTGTCCTTTTCTCCTTCCTTCCACTTTAGGAATAATGATGGTGAAGTACTTGACTATTCCCCTTTTTATTACTGTTCCCAAAGCAGCAGAAACCACAGATATTTCTACCTAGCGTGCTGACATATGGGATAAGGAGAGCAGAGTCAAAGTAACATAACATTGTGGGAGGTAAACGCCATACCCAGTCACAAAGCAACAAAAACAGACAAATATGTAGAAATGACCCTCCCCCTGTAAAATATGAAAGATAATTATAAAAAAATCACTAAGTGCCAAAATGTATGTAAATAAATATGCTTAAATAGGAAAATTGTAGATGCCAATTCTTGCCAATTAATCCATAAACAGTATAATTTCCATCAAAACATAAACAATGGATTCTGCAATAAATGATTTTAGTATAATTTATTATATACATAGAGAAAATTAAAGTTTAAAGTCTACCTCAAAGCAAATGTACACAAACACACATACACACATATACACACACGACTCTAGTAGGTTAAAGGAGCTATCTCTAAAAAGGAAACTGTATTTATATTAGAAGGAAATGTAGGCGAATATGTTCTAATGCTATGAATAGTGAAAGACTGTCCTAAGTAAAATGATAATATAAAAGTCTTATAGGAAATCATTGACAAAAACAGAAACGTTAAAATTCCAGATTGATCAAATGTGGTTAACAGCTACCATATTGACATCAAATCTATGTAGAAATGGAACTAGCTTTCTCTCATACAAATAATTTTTTGAGGGAAGAAACCAATGCACAGGTTTTCATGGTGCTGAATAGGCAGGGTGAGGATTTCTAAGGTACCTGTGGGCCAGAAAAAAGTCCTAAGAAGGAAACTGGCAGAGGCCTGCTCACAAGTGCTCACATGTGCTAACTCCTTGCCAAGACACACACTACCTGCTATAGGCCACCCAGTGAACTGAGGGTCCTGACTAAGTTAGAGATTCCTGGGACAACAGGGTATGCCTCAGGAGGGAATTCAACACCAGGAAGCTACAGAGGGGATTATCAGCTAGGTACATGAAGATCCCAGAATGTGCCACCAGGGAGCATGAGAATGGAGTGGCGAACAGTGCTGCGTTATTTGGTTATCCATTTGAGAAAAGAAGTAAAGTTGGATCACACCTTCCACCTTGCCCAAAGGTAAATTCCAAAAGACACTTGAGACAACCCTTTAAGCGGAAAGGTGTGAGAGAATTAAGAAATCATATGGAGACTCATTTTGTAATCGAGGAGTGGGGAACCCGGTCCTAAGCTACACACAGAAACAAGAGTCAACAGGGAAAATGAGAGTCAGGGTGAACAAGAGGCTAAGAGCAATGAGCAGAGGGAAGTGACAGAGTGTGTGGCGATGCATGCAGCAGGTGTAGCAGACAAGGGATTGGCCGATCCTCTGCAGGACTGTGCTTAACTCTGATGCAGCACCCATCTGTATCTTAGACCAATCAGTAGCCCCTAGAAGGGAGCAGGGAGCCAGTCCTCCACACAGCTGTCTAACTCTTAGCCAAATGACACTATGATGGATTCAAGATTGACTTGGTGATGGCTGTGCCTGATGGTGGTTGGCACTTCAAAGTGAGGGGATTGTGGTTGAAATTGCTTTGAGAGTGGCACATAGGGCCACGGTGAGGATGCAGAGTTTGAGAAGCTGGATGTCTGCAACCTTGCCTGTACTTATGGTGGGGGTGGAGAGTACAAAACCGCAGAAACCCCGGGAGAGGTAGCAGGCTGGGAAGGGCACTGGGAGTCAATGTGGTACCTACAGGCACCAAATGTAGACATAATAATGAGATGAATAAGAAGAAAGGCCAAAGCTCTTCTGGAACTAGAAGGCAGTCTGTGGCAGCAGTGCCAGATTTACGCAAGAGACTTAGGCTGGGGCAGCCCCATTATGGCAGGGCACCTCCCCACAGAGTGTGACAAGTTCAAACTTTGATGACCATGTCAAATGTTTACCATTGGGACACCCAGAAAGAATCTCTGTTCGTTGCAGCAGGCAGGTAGGTAGGTAAGTTTTGTGCTTGGTGGTCCCGTGCTGTTTCATTTTGAATTCAGTGTGTGTGTGGGATGGGGGGCACCATAGTCTTTCCAGTGCTGATAGCCTCTGAATATCTTAATCAGACCCTGACTGGCAGGCATGCTCCCGACTCCCCTTCACATCCCTAGGCAGAATCCACTGGGAACTGGGCTCCTGCCTTGGCATAGCAACCCACCAAGGGATGAAGGGCAGACCAGAGTCCTGAGCTTCCACACATAGGGAGTGTCTTTGGGAGAGCAGTGCCAGCAAATGGAGAGAATGCTCTTGACTTGGGCCAAGAACACACTGTGGAGACAGTTCGATGCCAACAGGCTTCTCTGTGACAGAGTTGCTCTGAGCAGTTGCTCTGAGTTGCTCTGAAGCCCTCCCTGCGATGGGACTGTAGCCTGCCTCAGAGATGGGGGACAACTGCCTGAGGCGGGACTCAAAGGGGAATTCGGCAGAGTGCAGAGAAACAGGGAGGTGCGTGTTAATTTGGGATCCTGAGCCAAGAGAAAGGAGAAAACCCTCTGCCTTCGCGCTGAGATTAAAGAGACTGAGCAGTAAGGTGTCACTGAAGACAGCATGAGCCAAGCTGACTCTACCAGGACAAGTAGACACAGGAGCTGTCCGCAAGGGCAATCCTACATGAAAAACTGATTGACCAGCTCATATGAAACTCACTTGGAAGAAAGCGATGGTCACATTAGCAGCTCTTAGGAAATAAGACAGGGTTCCAGAGGCAGCAAAAATGCCCCAGGGGGATAAGCCTTGCTGAGGGTGTGCTGTCACAACAACCTCGAGTCATGTGCTGGCTGTCCAAGGTGCCAGGACCCAGGAAGAGGTAGCATACCCACTCCAAGTTGGAGGATTCCCCAAGAAGGCCCTGGGACCTGGCAGGCACCCATGCCCGCTAGACAGCCTGAAGCATAGGGCAATGGGTACAAGCAGGAGAGTTGTAACCCACCTGTAACCTAAACTCTAGGAGAAGGGAGAAATAAAATAGGACTAGGCTCTCTATGAAGGAGAGTGCTCAGGAGGCAGAGCACTTAGAGAGCACTGATGCCCAGGGGAACAATGGCCCAAAGCAGCATCTCAGGATACCAGGAGAAGGCGCCAGTTGCAGAAGCAGCTCTGCTCAAGGGAAGCTTCTTGTCCACTTGTTGACCAAGGCTATGAGGAAGAGGACTATTTCTTGACACACCAAAAACATGCAGGGAGCCTGGGTTTCGTGATGCAGGGAAGGATCTGAAAATATTAGGAGGGGGTGGTGGAATAAGTTGCCCGTTTCCATGGAGGGGTTCAGTGGGAAGGGCTGGGTTCTTCCTTTCCTCCAAGGGGTGATGGAAGCTTGGATGGAGGGGAGGAGGTGTTTCCTGATGGATGGAACAGCCACGGTCATTCCAAGCACCCTCAGCGTCTGCCCTACAACTCCCACGGGGAGGCTCCCTTCCTGGGTCACACCAAAGATACCAAGGATAGGGCAGAAAGAATATTGCCCCCAGGGAATCAGGGGCCAACCGACCCTTCTCGCTCTGCCAGGAATTTGGTCTTGGGATCCCAAGGAAGGGAAAGGTCTGGAAGTAGGTTTAACAGCTGCTTCCCAGAAGGGAGAGAATTACACAAAGTAGGCACTCAGCAAGTGGCAACCATTATTGTTATAATCGTGCATTATATGTGCAGGGATGGATTGGCCAGTGGCCCCCAAGGATGTGTAGATGAACCCAAGGATACTGACCTTCCTCTGTAGGTCAGCGGTCAAGGAAAGACACCTTCATCGAGGGATTTCTTGTGCCAGGTGACAGGCTCAGTGCCGCCTGCTTCACGGGTGTTGCCTCTTTTAGTCCTCCCAACATTCCATCCTAATTCCACCAAACCTCCCTCTACACCCTGCCCACCCCAGCCCCCAACCCCTTCTTGAGAGCTGTCCTGAACACCGCAGCCCATCTCTACCCATGCCTCCTGTGAGCATTGATAAGCATGCATTTGTCATGGAGAAAACACCCCGGTTAGTTAGCATTTATCGTGGAGTTTTGTCTTTCTCTTCATGCAGACTGTAAACTCAAGGACAAGTACCATGTCTCATTTTTGCCAATCAAAGCACACAATTTTATTGATGATACATACAATCATAGACTTGGGTGGATGAGGTTAAGTCAGTACAGCACACAGAAAGGGAGGGTAGTTCTTTGATGAATAGGGTCACCATCCATCAGCTCGTGTACAGGAAAGAGTAAACGAAAAAGAATTCAACCTATGCAGCAACAAATGTGTTTTCAGCACAAGCTCCGATACGCATCTGGGCTCCACAAAATGGCCCGGCTTAGACAGGGAGACCATCACAGGCAAGGCATCCTTCATGATGCAATAATATGATGTTCTTTATCCACAGCTGGCAGCTGGAACGAGCCCTTTACCACAGGAAGAAGTAAGGGAGTAATTTACAGTACGCATTGCCTGCAGACTGCAAAACCAAGAAGTTACTCGAAGCTCTGTGGGAACCCCCGCCTGGCCAATAAGAGTGTGGTCCTCGATTTAGCAAGTGTAACTTTCACCCCATGATATGGTGACTGGCTAAGGCTGGATCTTCTATAGCACCCACTGCAGAGTCTTTGAATGAGAACACAAGTGTGTGTTCACCAAACGGATTATAGGTAGATTCAGTCCCATTCTGTTCGAGATGGCCATTTAAGAGGCCAGGATGTCCAGGAGAACCTGCCTGTTTCCATTCCTGATAAAGAGGGACATGCATGAGAGCAGCATTTGGGCACCCAGCAATTCCTCTGCCAAGACTGGCTTTTCAGACAAAGCCATCAACGATTTCAAAACCTGAACCTCAGCACATCCACTTCCTTCTGATATCAAAGGAAACTTCAAGTCTGAAACGGACTTGGCAAGCGTGTTATTAATAACTGTCATGCTTATTAACAAATTTAATCCGGCCTGCTGCAGAAATGAGTTGCAGCAATGTGACACAGTCTCCCGACACACTTCATTGATGTACATCTTAATCTGGCCCTGATTTTCCACACTGACATTCACGTTATCCAGGGTACATAAAGCCTTCTCCTTAACAGCTGGGTCACAAATGGGGATCGTGTTTCCGACAATGGAGAGGCAGGCCAAATGACTATTGATATCGTGGCTAAATGAAAACCCAGCATCCTTGGACTGAGCCGACAACATTTACCCTGAATCAGAGGACATTTGGAAAGGCCCCTAAGAGAAGTTACTTTTTAAAAATATTATAAGTCTCACAATAAAGCCATAATTTTTATCAGGGTAAAGATGCTTCTTCTTTTTTATGCTCTCATTTTGAGGATCCCTTGGGTCATTACTGCTCATGTCCTTTAAGGATCCCTTGGGTCATTACTGCTCATAGTTTATGTCCTCCTCATCCCCAGGACTAGGATCTATCAGGAAATTTGACTAAAATCCAGAGATCTTATCTGTTCTCCTCCCTATCTGAAGTTCCCCCGTCTTCTGTTCTTACTGTGGTTTCTCCCTCACCTGATTAGTGGATGAACACTATCAACTTCTGGCCCTGATAGGTATCTCACATCTATGATGGTCTTGAAAAAGCGATCTAGTTGTGATGTTCTGGGAAGGAGATTTTCAGACCATCTTTTCGTGGACACAAACTTCACTAACTGCCATCCAACGTGGTGCTAACGGCAACGCACGCATATAGAGTTTGATCTGAGCCTTCACAGATGGACATGTCAAAACTCAGGATACAAGGGTATCAGTATCTTTTTTTTCCTGATTTAGGGTCTTAATGGTCTTAATTTTCAAATGTTTAGTCTCTGCCTTTTCCTTCCCTTAAGCTTGTTCACACTGTTTCCTGAATGGTACATTTGATTTTTCCAGCGCTAAGGCAAGAGGGGCAAACAAAGGCTGGGAGAGAAAGAATCTGATTTGTTTCTAGATCCTATATTCTAACTCTGACATCCCTATCCCCACTCCTTATCTCCAGGATATCACACTGTGTGGAGCAATTTCCTTCCTTCCCTTCTTGCCTAGATCTATGTGTATAGGTAGACAGACAAGAGAGAATGGAGATTGGTAGATGTACATAAGTGCCCTTTCTCCAGAGTGAGAAATCTAACTTTCAAATATCCCCCGTTTAGGTCTCAGTTACACCTTCCACCCTGCCCTCTAGCCACTTTCACCATCTCTCCCATTGCCCATAAATACCTACCTTTTCCATTCCCCTGCCCCCCACCCACTCTCTTGACTTCACTCTCTCCCTTCAAATTCCCATTTTTCTGCTCTACTCCTCATTTTTGCCCCATATTGAATCTGTTTCCCCAAAGCTAAAAAAGGACTAGGATTAAATAATGCTTTTCTAAAGACGGGATAAAAGTGGGAAAGGAGGTTCTGGTTTCATGCTTGCCTTTACCACCACCTTGTAACAGGTTCAAGGCCTATATTTCCTCGAAGAAATGCTCACTTCAGTTTCTACTAAAAATCCTGTAAATATTCTTCCTCTTCCTTTCCCTTGAGTTGTGCCGCCCCCTGCAGACATCAAGTAATCCAATAGATAAGTGTCCGTGAATCTTTAGTGCTGAGTGGTAGGTCACAGTTTCTACCTTTTACTGATTACAAACACGTCTCTCTAAGTTCAATAAGAAGCTGGTGGCTGCACCAAAAAGACCACCTCTCCACAATTTTTGGTTATCCGAGTTATACGTCACCAATGAGCCATGGTCCCCAAGTTCTCCTCTCACCAGCCAAGTGTGCCAGCCTCTCTCCCTTCTCCCCAGCACACCAGACCTGTCAATTTTTTTCTATGCCAATGATAGGAAACAAAAGAAAATTCATTTCCGTTTTGTTGAAATTTGCCTTTAATTTTCAGGGAATCTATCTTCTCCCAGAGCAACTATTTCTATTTACACTTCTTCATCTTCTCCTAGAATACAGGGAAACAGCTCATAATTTTACTTCCCCTCCTCTCAGCTACTAATATCCATCATCTTTCCTGGACCTATGAGAAAGCAGATTTCATAAAGTAAAGCATGAAAAGAGATTTTAAATATTTATTTATTGCCTCTGTTCATTTTTCTTGGAAATACTGTTTTTTAAAAAAAGATTCGTGTGCTTGCTTCGGCAGCACATATACTAAAAGTGGAATGATACAGAGAAGATTAGCATGGCCCCTGTGCAAGGTTGACACGCACTTCGTGAAGCGTTCCATGCTTTTAAGATCACGCACAATCCACACAAAGGTCACGTCCAGAGCTACTGACACAAAGGATCAAGTAGAGTGCGCCACACAGGACACCTTCCACATTAGGCCATCTGGCCAAGGATGAGAGACAAAACAATTATTCCTGACACATAGAACACAGAGGGGCTAATAAAATGAGAAAACAAAGAAACAAGCCACAAATGAAACAATAAGAGAAAACTCCAGAAAATAAACTAAATGAAATGGAGGTAAGCAACCTACCAGAGTCAGAGGTCAAAATAATGATTATAAGGATGCTCAACGAACTTATGCGGAGAATGGATGAACAAAATGAGAGCATAAAAAAAGGACGTAAAAACCGTAAAAAAGAACCAGACAGAAATGAGGAAATAAGAGAACTCCAGAAAATAAACTAAATGAAATGGAGGTAAGCAACCTACCAGAGTCAGAGGTCAAAATAATGATTATAAGGATGCTCAACGAACTTATGCGGAGAATGGATGAACAAAATGAGAGCATAAAAAAAGGGGACAAAAACCGTAAAAAAGAACCAGACAGAAATGAGGAATATGATAATAGAAATGAAGAATTCAACAGTACATCGAACAAAGCAGAAGATCAAATCAGCAAATTGGAAGACAAAGTAGCATAATACATCCAATCAGAACAATAAAAAGAAAAAAGAATTTTAAAAAATGTGGATAGTTTAAAAGACCTCTGGGACGACATAAAGTGTAAAAATATGCGAATCATAGCAGTACCTGAAGAGGAAGAGAGAGAGCAAGGGATTGAGAATCTATTTGAAGAAATAATAACAGAAAACTTCCTTAACCTGGCAAAGGAATTAGACATACAAGTTCAGGAAGCACAAAGAGTTTCAAACAAGAGGAATTCAAACAGACCTACCCCAAGACACATTATAATTAAAATGCCAAAGGTCAAAGACAAAGAGAATCTTAAAAGCAGCAAGAGAAAGGAAGCTAGTTACTTAAAAGGGTACTCCCATAAGAATGTCACCTAATTTTCAGCAGAAACTTTTCAGCCCATAAGGAATTGACATGAAATATTCAAAGCCATGAAAGCAAGGACCTAAAACGAAGAATACTCTACCCAGAAAGGCTGTCTGTTAAAATTTAAGGTGAGATAAACAGCTTTCCAGACAGCAAAAAGTTAAAGAAATTCATCACCAACAAGCCAGAATTACAAGAAATGCTAAAGGGACTTCTTTAAGAACAAGAACGG